AATGCCATAGGACCCCCCCTATTCCTCTAATGATTAGTTGCCTTTCTGCTAGTCATTCTCAAACTCTAAAAATAATTCTATTGCCAAATCATCTTTGCCATTACACCGATGGTTCGCCGATGCCATACTTTTTCATAATGTGTGCCCTCTTACTCATCGATCTGAATGTCGCCAAGATTTTCTGCGTGCTTTATTTGCCATCCATTTTGGTTATTGGATATCTTTTTCAAAAATCATCTATGGGCAGCTTAGGAAATTTTTTGATTTGGTGATCAAACAAACTCAGAAAAAAGAAAAAGATTGGGATTTTCCTTGCCATTCATTGTTATTCGACTGCTAATTTCTCAGGGCTACACTATTGCCGCAAATGAGTTCTCTTTTTAGCACAATGATCGATTTGGTGAGGTTGATTGGAATCGCAGCCAATCTCACATGGAATTAAAAGTGGTTGCTGCACCTGGAGAAAGGGCTCAAAAAATTATGGAGGGTGAACAGGTTTTGCCTATTTATCCAAGTTAATTGGCTACTAGACAGCTCATAGAAGATGAGCCCGCTAATGAACCCCATGATAAGCCTATTATAGAGGCAGCCAGTGATGATGAGGATGATGCTGATGATCATCCTTATGACTATTTGGTGGGTGAGATGACCCAACTCAAATATGAAGTTCAAGAAATCCATCAGGGGCAGAAGATGATTCTTAAGGGGCAGAGGACGATTCTTGAGGAATAGATGATGATTCGTCAGGATCAAAGATCAATGATAGACATGATGCGCACGCTTATGATTCATAACGGACTTAATCCCGATGCTCTACAGCCTCCATTTTAGCTATCCTGCCAAGTACTTTCGTTCTTTGTTTTTATTTTCTTTTTTTTGTTATTATTTTTCTTGCTTTTAATTTTTGCCCAGTTGATAAGCATCGAATATTGTATATTCAGGTGCCCTTAATTGCATTAGTTAAGTCCATTATTTGGTCTTTGTATATAGATTATCTTCATTTTTGTGTTCTTGTCTATTTTAAGGTGTACTCTCCAAAAAGAAATATAAAGAAGACCTTAAGAGTTTTTGACGATCAAATGCATTTCTGGTTTTAACATCTAGGGCTAGTTAAGAAAAAGAGGTTCCAATGGACCTATGGAAACTCTCAGCAATGCATTTGGATGATGAAGGACTCAATGGTCCAAAGCTGAATAAATGCAAAACAGTTACATTTGGGCCAAGGCATTTTGGCACCTCGCGTTTGGACACCAATTCTCGCGTCTTAATGCCGTGCATTGTACTCGCGTCTCGATGCCAACCTATAGGCATCAGCGCTGTCCCACTTTTCTTTAGTCAAAGTTTGTTCCCTTTTACTAGGGAATTAGAATTTTGACTGGCTGGGTTGTTTGGCAACCCATTTTGGGATTAAAAGGGGGCAAAAGGCTTGGAATAAGGGCAATTAATTATTATTAGAAAGATATATTGCAGAGAGGGAGGATTTTCTTAGGGTTTATGTGTTGTTCTACATTCATGGGGCTGGAGTGGAATTCATCTTCGACTCCTTCAATCATTGAAGTTGTTGCCATGTCTATGAGGAACTAAATTCCTTCCTAGGGAATTGAAATTCTTGAAGAGAATGTGGTAATACATTGCTACATATCATGGTTGTATACATAGCTAGTTCCCCAAGTATATTGCAATTGAGCATGTTTATGAGGTTTGTGGTGGATTCAAGTCCCTAGCTTTCTCTTTTTAAGTTTAATTTCAATTAAATTCATTTATTTTCTGTTTTTGTTAAATTTCAATTCATAGCTTAAAGTAACAACTCAATCAAACTATCATCTCCTATATCAAACAAAAAGTAATTTTACAACTTTGGTTGCCATAAACTAGCAATCCTTGTGGTTCGACAAACCTTATAATAGCTCTATTCTATATTAATATATGTGCTATTGCAAGTGATAATTTTAAGTGGTAACAAATTATTGTCATCACCAGTGAGGACACTGTCCAATTCAAGTTTGGGGGCATAAAGTCTACTCTAGTAATTCAAAATATATATACATATATATATATATATCAAATTTTTTTCTTTGGCATATTGACTTTAATTCAAGTATTTAAGCATTGTTAGAGAGATTAAGACAATTAAGTAATTTTTAAAACTCTTTTCTGAGATAGTCCTGAATTCCTAATATTTGTGCTTTATTTTATGTTGGTTCCATTATCTAGTATGATAGGAGTTTTAGTAATTGTCGGTCCCTGATGGATTTCACATGCACACTAGAATTTTATCTATAGGTATTTGTATTTTTTTGTTGCTTTTTGATGGCTATGGATGGATATGAATTGGTGATCCCTTTCATGAAATAATCAGGCTCATGTCTCATAAGTATAGAGTGTTCACATTAAGAATAATAAAAAAAATAAAAAATAAAAAAAGAAGAAGAAGAAATTGAAATAAATTGATTTGGTTTGTCTAGGTTTGTAATCTAGTTGACTTGAGCAATTAAGTCCTTAGGGGTGTCTTTATATCTAATGCCCTAAGACTGTCTGGTCTCGGAGTCATTGGCCAAAAGCTTGTTACATGAGTCTTCTAAAAAGCTTAATAGACCGGACATTGCACAACCAATCAATATAATTTGAGTGAGAAAGAAAAAAAATTATTTTACCATAGAAAATAACTTGAGAAGGGATCTGAGGAATTGAAGTTATAGAAGTTGTGTTCAATTAACAAGACATTACAACATAGGCGATTTACTAGTTCACAAATTTCACAACATTGGGGATTGATTTTGCCATTGTTCTTGTTATATAAGTGTGTGGAAAATATTGGGATAAAGTATAAAAATAAGGACTAAAGAGTATTATTAGTTGATAATTTTTAAAAATATTTTGGATAGTTTTTCCCTTGATTATTGTGATGATATGAGAATAAGTTGATTGCCAAATAATTGAATTATTTTGTATGTTTGTGGGTATCATCTCTGGAAACACTCATGAGACTTCACTCGTCCACTAGGGGTAACCTAGGGGTTTAAAAGGCTCGTTGCATATGCTAAATGCAATCGTGATTCCCACAAAAGCGGCATTTATGTTTTCTTTAGTTTTATTACTATAGGACTAGCAATATGTAAGTTTGGGGGTGTGCTAGGCGCTGCATGTCATACATTTTAGTTCCTTAACTTGCATGTTTTATTCTCTTAGTTACAGTTTATTTTTTATTTTATATTGTTTTATTGTTTTTATTTATTTCAGGGTTTTAATTGTAAAATCAGTTAAGACCAGTGATTCCGAGCTTTAAAAGATGACATTCCGTGGGACTGAGCAATGTTAAAGATCCAAGTCTAATTAGACTTAGAAAAGAGTTGAAGAGAAGTTACAAGTTGATGAGAATGAAAAGAAGAAGAAAAGGAAGAATCCTTCTCCAAAAATGAAACTTTCTCTAAAGTTAGTAACTTGAACCCATTTTGGTAATCCGGCTGTATCTCTCCCCTCGAGTGCAAAACAACTAAATTCCCGCACTAGTTGAAAGGAAATTCGAAGAGTAACAATTTTGTATTTCACAAGAATTTCATAAGATAACTGTTTACTTTGTCAAAACTGGGCTGGAAGTCTGTACGAATTTTGGAGTCCTTTTTTGGCAGAATTTCCATATATGTCTTCTATGTGAACTTTAGGGCTAATCTTTTGTTATTTAAAGAGAGTTCTCTACATCATTAGAGGATCATACAAAGGAGCTTAAGGAGGACCTTGAGGCTGAGATCAGGAGGGAAGCATTCAGAAGCAAGAAGGGATCAATCCATAATGGTGAAGATATCTTCTTCAGCCATGAAGAATTCCACTCCAGACATGCTTGGCTAAATGCTCTGCTAAGGTTATAATGTAGCCCTAACTTAACACCACTGGTTTGATTGTATTTATTTATTGGAAAACAATTATTATCCTGTATGATTGTGTAATCTATAAATTTTTAATTGATTTTTCAATAAGAATTGGTTTTAAAATTTTAATTCAATTACAAATATTTTTCTATCTTGTCTTAGATTTTGAATTTTGTGTTTGAACACAACTCATTCACTTCTTATAGTTGTGAATGATATGATTACACAATGGTTTTTCTCTCTATACTACACCCTAGAGTAACGTAGTTAGATACATGGTTTATGCCAATCAAAGATAGTCCATACTTAACTTTAAATTATATTATTTTCTAACTGAATAAATATGTGCTTTTATCCATAATTAATTCCCTATGCATGTTATATATTATATTTCCAATAAATTGATGCAATTGACTGGTGGTGCGACGTTAATGGTGAAGTCATGTCCCTAGTTTTTCTCTATCTATTTTCTACATCCTATTTAATCATTGTTCTCATTTTATTTTTCTATTTAGTTAATTAGAACAAATCATCACAATTTGATTATCTACTTTCAAGTTAATTTGGAATTTAACAAATCTATTGACAAACTTAATTTACACGTGTCCCTTGGGTACGACACCCTTACAAGCAAGCCCTATCTACAAAAATTTGTGCACTTGCGAGTGGTACATATAAATCTCACAACAATTATTATGAGAGAAAGAAAACTACCAATTTGACAAAACAAAAGAAAAATGGCCATACATACCATCCATTTATCTGAAATGTAAGCAAGTATATTATTTGTAACACCCAAAGTTCTATTGAGATAGAATGCTGAAAAGGTTTTAGATGTAATAATCTTATAAACAAACTTATCTCATCAATCTAATACCTTATAATTTGAGAAACAACCAGATCTAATTCCAAGCAAAGTTATCTTTCACAAATCTTCATAACACAGAGTAAGCTTTATTCTTTAATTTTTATCTAAGAATTTTGATTTCTCCCCACATCCACACAATCATATTCATACCTTGCAATTGACATGAGTCCAAGTGAAGTGGTGGAGACATCAGCACACCAAAACAGCAAGAATATGTAGACAAACACAGTAAATTTATGGATGAATTCAAGTACTGTACACTCACGGAATGCAAAGATCCAGAAAGATAAATATATACATATACATATATCTCTTAAGCATCTGCAGCAAGAATTAATATAACTACGAAAAGTGGAAAATAACACAATCAAATAAGATCAGTCTTGTGGAGTTCTTATGTGTTAACATATGATGCATAAATATATGGTAATTGTACATAGAAGATTCTAACAGCCAGAGACTGTAGATTTCGAAGCTCATACCCTCAACTTGATACGGAAGCCCACTTAATTGATTCATTCACTTGCAGTTTGCAGAGACCTTGCGATATTCTTCCGGTTTGAAGTCAGGCATTAGAAAGAACAATGCTTCAATGGATGCAGTCAGTGCCACCACAAATCCCTAACCAAATCACAAAGAGAACCAAACATACAGCAGCATCAACGGCAAGAACAATCCGGACCAGGCGGCACCACTTCTTTCGAATGCTTTGAGTACCTGACCTGATCCTCATAGAACCCATATCTTTCTGTAACGAGCCTGAAGAAACCACAGCACCTTGGTTATCAGAATCCAAAGTTCCTGAATTGCCCTTGACTCCTCTATCCGTAGACTTCCTGTGCTCCTCCAACTCAATGTCTCTAATTGCAATCACATGATCTTTCATCTTCCTCTTCTCTTGCTTGCTAGACTTTCCTAACAAAGGGATTTTTGTGGAAGTGGAAACTTCAATTTGCTCATTAGCGTTATTACTTGATGACGGGGAGAGATCCATATGATGTGGTGAGGGACTCTTCCCTTGCCACTCGTTACTAGGATTGGAAACTCGCTCCAAGGTGGTAATCAAGTGACGGATAACTGGCACTAATTGTTCTTCTATGCAGAGTGAGTTCAGATTCGAGATACTCCTGCTTGAACCTTTTCTAGCCACCTTCTTGAATTCACTTCTCACATTTTCTAGAAATTGAAGAACTCCTGAATTTCCAAGACCCTCATCCATGATCACAAAATAGACATATCCATCCTCCATCAAGAACCCAAAAGTTTTTTCACACATTGTGTGAAAATACCAAGTGTGATATGGAGGGGTCCTTTCCAAGCATCTTGCAGCCAAGTTCTCAATCTCATGGTCTCCACCACTATACGCATACAAGATACGAGTACCCTTTGATACACAGCAGTAATGAACCGTGTTTTGAATCGAACCCATTAATATAAAGTCACAAAACTAGTTTCACTCTTAATTTTGCGACCGATCTTGCTGCAAAAACAAGTTCCAAAGATCACCATTTGACACTTTATACCAGACTTTTTAGTTATTATCACCCAACTAAAATTGACAAATAGAGAAAAAGTAATTAACCCCAGAAATCTGAAGGAACAATCACTTGAAATTAGCAAAAATCTACACGATTAGGATTTGGCAAAAGAAGAAGCAAATAAATACCTTACCTAAGGAGACCAAAACCAAACAAAGTGCAAGCAATGTTTGAACAACAAAATCGAAGCCCTCCATAACAAAATCAACCCCATCCAACAAATACCAAAATAATTCTTCAGCTAGGTATTCAAAGTCAAGAATGAAGTCAGTCATGTGTTTCTAAGGTTGTACACTACAATCCAGCATCAATAAGAAAGAACACTAACTAGGAGGGTTTCGATTTCAACTGTGTCCAAGTGTTTCTAGCATGTCATAAATACAAACAGAAAAACAATTAATTGATTGTAAAAAGTAAGGTAAGATCACAGATTTTGAAACGAAACCCAGTGAATTTCATCAATTGAAGAAATTTATAAATAAAATCAAATTAAGATATGAAATGGATTTTGGGCAGAGACAAAGCGATAATCGGGTTTTCTCTATGAAGTATTACCTGTGTAGTTTCTGCAAACTCTTTGAAATCCCATGAGCAGAGAAAAATGTTAAGCGAGATAGAGATTACTTTGGAAACGAAGTCAACACCAACATCACTTCTGCTACTTCTCTCATCATTATATGGGTCCCCATAAATTTCGTTTGGGTTAAACGGAAAAGAAACTTTTTACCATTTTTATGAGTTTTCTTTTTTTTTTTTTTAAGGGCTCAGCCGCTAAGGGGAGAGAACGTTTGTCAATTTATTTATTTTTAGGGTTAAGTGCAAAAAGTCCATGAACTATTAGGATTTTGCAACTAATCCCCTTAAATTATAAGAAATCCTTCTAAATTATGATTTTGTTGTCAAAAAAATCCCTATACTATTGATTTGTTGCATTCCGGTAGGTGACTTGATCGGAAATATTAAAAGACGATTTTACCCTTACTTAAAAACTACATCGTTTTGAGAATTATACCTGATGTGGCAGTTGATAATTTCATAAACCAATAAAAATGTGACACCAATGCATTGATTTGGGGTGAGCACAGTGATCCGAATTGGTGTGGCTTTTGAAGTCCAACCTTGCACCCACCTATCTTGATTTTTTATGTTAAAACCTTTATATATTAATGTATGTGTGTCTGTATTGTTCATTGAAATCAGTGTCTCTCTTAGTTCTCAATAGAACAATGTCTTTGTATTGTGCGTCAATTGTTCATTGACACTTTACAAATTTGTTGGGATCTTTGTTGCCATACAAATTGACGCACACCTTTTGTCGCCTCGACCAGATCATTCAAGAATAGCTCGTCAGCGGAGTAGGAGGTTATCGATCTGGCTCACCAGAGTAAAACTAGTACAGAGAGGAGACCGAAGGTCGTCGGCAGTGGTAGAGAAGCACCGCGACGGCTTCCCTTCCCCAAAAAGACCCACCACTCCTTCCCGGAACCGACCCATCACTAATCCTCCCTTCGTTCCTCTCTTCTTAACGATGGCGGCTTTGCCCCAATCAGCCTCCGCTCCTTCCCGGTGCTTGACAGCAGCAGCGAAGTCCCCTGTCCGGTGGTCGTCGTTGGTTGGGGTTTTGCCCAAGGAAGATATTATACAGATTTTACCCAACAAAAAAAAAAAAATTTATTATAGAGAGATTTGGTTCTTGGTTGCATAGTTGATCGTGAGTGAGGAAGGAGTAAAGTTCATTTGTTTTGTTTGATCAACGAGACCAGTAAGACCGAACAAATCGCGCTGGAGATGAATCCCAACCGAAATCAGACACAAACCATGGTGCTGGAATTTGATTGCGACCCACAAACCCGCTGGATTTTGACACCCACTTCCCTGAAGGAAAAAAAGATGACAGCTGCACCCATAGTCGACGGCACAGCAACCTATGGCCGGAGAAGAACACAATTCCAGAACCGAACCCACAATCGATGCAAAACGGCAACCAACAAACCGTGGCCGGAGAAGAATGCTACCCGCGACACCCGATAGACCCAATTAACTGTGGCTGGAGAAGAATCCCGAACCTGGTATCGTACCCCGTCACCGGAATTGGACACCCATTGTACCGCAAAAAAGAAAAACAGAAAGGTGAGGGACGCTGATGGAGAAATTGACAGTGGAGGTTGGGTTTAGAGGCTGATCGTGGTTAACCCTCAATTGGGGATGAGAAAGATGAAGTTTTGCGAGTGGATATATATATATATATATATATATATATATATATATATATATATATATATATTTTTTAAGCAACACAGTAAAAGGGTGTGTTTGGGGTTTATAAAAATAGGTATGGATTTAATAATTAAAATAAGGGGCATTTGTGTATTTTCATAGTCACGAGGGCATTATAGTCATTAAAAATATAGTATGTGTCATATGATCATCGCGTGATCACTTTGACAGCAAGATCCAATTGGAACAGTGACGGATGGGGTGATCTGCAACTTTTTTGCATAGTTCAGGGGGTTTTTTGCATTTTTGAAAGTTCAGGGGGTTAGTTGCAGATTTCCCCATAGTTCAGGGGAGTTTTTTGCACTTAACCATTTATTTAATTTTATTTATTTAATTATTTTTGTTAAAGACCAATTTGACAAATTGGATTACTTTTTAGAGTAATTTTACCCTTTTATCTTGATTCATATATTATTAAAAAAAAGTAAAAAATATATTGGTTAAGTGCAAAAAAGACCCCTGATATATAAGGTTTATGCAAAAACCGTCCCTACTTTTTGAAAATGCGTATTTCAGTGCATAAAATTTAAAAAATGTGCAAATAAGCCTATCTGACCACTTTTTGGTCAAAAATTACATAAAATAAATTTTAAAACCCTATTTTGCCCTTGGGTTAAGTGTAAAAATGTAATGTTTTTTATTTTTCTCATTTTCTATTTTCTGGGATTTTTTGAATTTTCGGGGTTATTTTTGTCTTGCCTTGTTTTACGTGCCGGACATCGTGGGGTGTGCCAAGTATGTCTCAGGGTTGGTTGGAGCATTTTCATGAGTTTAGGGCTCTTGAAAATGCGTTGGTTGACATTTCGGCATTTTTCTTTTTTCGGGCCCGGAGGTCCTAGGTGGGACCCGATACCTTGGTCGTTGAGCACGGGGATTGTGTCTCGGGTTTGTGGCATTTCATACATCATTATTTTGTGCTCATTTACTTGATTACATATTTATTTTGTGGATGTAAATTAGTTAGTGTGTATATAGTTATATATATATGTTATTATTAAAAGATTTTTAGTGGCCATGGGACCCACCACTCTACCACACCATCACTTATGGCCATAAGGCCAATTACAGACCACATTTCTCTTACTCTCTCACATCAGTTCTTTCCCTCACTCTCATTTCTTTTTTCTTTTTTCTTTTCTACACAATTTCAAGCCAAGATCTAGAGATTTTCTTTGAGAATTTGATCTTACCACTTAAGGCAAAGTTGATGAGCTTGTCGAGACCTTCATTTTGGTTGGAGCAATTTCTAGTTTGGAGCACTTTTGAAATTTTAAATTTTGGGTGTAATTTGGGGCTTTTGATCTATTTTGGGGAAAGGGATGTTCTAATAAACAATCTCTTTGATTTTAGTGAATTTCCCCTCTTTAAAATTGATTCCAAGTATGCTTATATTTATAAATTTGGCTATGAGGCTATGTGGTTGAAATTACTTGTTTCCTGGAATGATGTGATGAACCATGCTAAATTGAAAAATTATTGTTGCATTGTATGACTATAAATTGCTGAAATTATTTTGTTTCAAGACATGAAATATATCTACTACATTGGTTATGATGGATTTGTTACATGAAAGCATGATGTGATTTATTCCTAGAATTTCTATAAATGGATGTTATATTGTTGTGAATAATTTCAAATTATGAAAATTTGTATAATGTCATGATTGTAAATGGAATTAGGAATTCATGCATGTCAATGGGAGGAAAAAGGGGAAAAAGTTGTTTTAAATGCAAATGAAAATTATTTTGGAAAAAAATGTTTTTGAAAAGTGGTTTGCGAAAACTTGGACACCTAAGAGGTGCTTAGTAGTCCGTGACTAGGGAGAGACCCTAGTATGGTTGAGCTACCTAGGCCCGAAACGAAGCCATAGAGGTGCCATGTGGTTGGGGATAGCTAGCCAAACCTTCTCTTGTGGCACCATAGAAGTGCTATGGGTCAGGTTGCATTAACTGTTTGGAATGGTGAAACAGAAATGTTTCGGGAATGGGGAGTGACATTGGCATGTCATTGCATTACATTAACATGTATTTTATACATATGGTTAGATGACCTATTTTGTAGTTGTTGATGATATTGTTGTCGTTGTTGTATTTTTTTTTCCAATGACATGATCTTGTACTTCTTTTATTTTATGCTTTGTATGGATTCATGGGATCATTTAGAGGTGTGTCTTAGAGACCTAATACTGAGCGGCTGTGCTCACCCCATTATATTAATTATTTTGTTTAGGTCATGGGAAGGAAGTGGTAGACGATGCTCCTTCACAAGTTTAGATGGGTTAGTGGACAGTTTTGGCATCTTTTGTAGCTGTGATCTCATTTTTTTTTTTTTTTTTTTTGTGTAAGCCTTGGGGTGGCATGTATATTATGTATTGACCTTAGAAATGACTATAGTGCCCTTAGATAACCTCGGCTTTGGGTAAGGACCCAGTTAGTGATTCGGACCTTCAGGTTCAGGTCGTTATAAAAAAAAAAAAAAAAAAAATCCCCTCTACTATCGATATAGTGAAAAACAGTCCCTATGTGGTATAAAACCTTCATATATTATCAATTTGGCGCAATTACCCCCCGTTCGCATAAAAAGACATTAACACCCTCTTTAATATAAATGAAATAATATTAAAATCAATTACATGAGTTCTACAAATGTAATCCTCAAAGTCATACAACTTGCTATACAAAAACAGAAATTCCCCAAATAAAAAATATAAATTAATCCATGATTACTTCGAATGGGTTACAACAATCCCCTAGAAAGGGAGTTAGCTTCTCATGGTTGAGTTTGTAGCCTTCAAGGTAGCTGAAGAAGTCCCCAACTCGAGCTTTATCTCAACCTTCTTTTTCTTCTCCAGGTGTTTTTTTTCTTTCTCCCTCTACCTCTATTTTGCCAAGAATGATGATAACCCTAAAAGTTTCTTAGGGTTACATATATATACTCTCAAATATAGCCCTTTATTTAACCCTCAAAATCCCCTTCCATTCATGCCCCCTTACTTTTCATACATCAAGGGACAATAATCCATGATTTAAGGGTCAAAAGTGACGTTTTCAAAGCCATTCAGCATCTGTTCGCAGCTCGGAGCGCTCCAAGGAAGGGTTGAAGCGCTCTAAGTATGTCATTTTGCTGGAGTGCATTATGGAGAGATTTAAGTTGGGGTCAAAGCACTCCAAGGGTATCCTGTGCGCATGCTCACAGCTTGGTAGCAGCACTTGTTGACCCAGCTTCAATTAGCCATTAACTTGCTCATTTTAATTTCGA